GCGGTCTGCGCTCCCAGCAACTTGGACCGCTTACCTTTTTTCCAGATGAAAGAAAAACCATAGAAATGAATCAAAGGCAAGGAGGCGGTAAGGCCGAATGGATGGAAAGTAAAAGGCAAGTCAAAAGAATTTGGCAAGGGTTGCGCTTTTTCATGGTATTGATGACTCTCGTCTGTACCATCTCACCAGCATGCACATGCAAAATAACAAATACAAGAAATCGTAAGAGTTAAACTCAAAAGATATATGAAACAAACTGGTGGAAGGAGTAAGGAAGGAGAAAAGATTGTAGCGGACAAGGACCTAAGTATGCGTGTTCAATAAAATATACAATCAAAATATCAGATTAGAAATAACAAATGGCGATAAGAAATGGATAAGTGAATGGAACAGACTCACTAAATTGGGAGTCCAATAGCCCCACCACACGAAATGTTGTGCAGTAATCGTATTCGGCGGCGAAGAATATATCCAGAGTGAGAAGGATATTCTCCACCGATAGTTCGAGTGTTAGAAGTAAATTCCACGGTAGGAATTTATCACAGCTGAAAATTGTCACAAGGGGTTATTGTGACGTTCAACAGTTCACACAAAAACACAATAATCCAATCCCACGACTTCAGCAAACAGTAATCAGTTCAATCGGATGCAATTTCACTGACTCAGCGAAAAGCAGGGAAGTCGCGCCAAGAAATTGTGTATTTCACCATTTTCGATTTTAATGTAATTATTGGCACAATAAAACAAAATGTCATGATACGTGTACAGTGTTTACAAATTGCCATTCAAGTTTATATGAAGAGAGTATAAAATGGGGAAAATGTAACATTGATTTGCAAAACACCACATCCCACTGGGAAACTTGCTGTCAGGCGCTGATAACCACGGGAGCGATATTACACTCATTTTCCAGTTGTGCCTCCCAGGTGAACTGAAGCCTCTTGATGACGAATATAACCTGACGCTGGAATCTAGCTGAAGGCCTAAATCGTGTGTATGAATCCATGTATGTAGCTACCGTGACCTTGACCTTGACGCGCCGTACAAATTTATTGTGAGCTTATGGCTTTGTGGTATACAGTGTCTGTCAGTTTGATTGATTCATATGTAAGTATTCGTGATGTACCACCTTGCTTACTGGGCTTTGGCTCATAAGCTTTGTTTCTGTTTTCCATCCACAGAAATGTCGTGAACACCTGCCTTCGGAGAAACCTGGTGCTTCCATAGCGTGCATATTACAGGCTTCAAGCAATCTTACTAGGCACCAATCCACTGGGTGAGGTACTTGCCTTCGGTAAAATTGGCCTCACCACCGTTGATACCGTTCGGCATGTCGTGGGCACCCCGACCGCAAGCGAAACAAACGAGACATGACCATTTGTGGCTCCGCACCGGTTTGTATACCGTCCTAACATAGGTCCCCTATGCCCTTGAGACACTAAGAGCCCAGTCCACATCACAAGACACTAACTCTGCAGTTTGCGAGATAAACTTCACTACATACCGAAAAATTTTCGCTCTCAGTAATCGACAAATAATAAAGCTTTCAACTACTTCCATTGTTTCGAGCTGTGTTTCAGTTTTTGTGGATGACTGTCAGCATACCTAGTAGTGTTTTGTGACGACACATGTCACAGAGGCAATGTTATTTCTGGTGCGGCCTTTGTTTCACTATTAATTCTCAGTAACCAAAGTTGAAGGGACAAAGAAACTAGCCTAAATCTTGTCATTTGGTGATTGATGGGGAAAAAGGGAAAGTAGGCGGACTACTAACCCCAGATTCTAATTCGGCCGATACACGGACCACCCTCGGACTATGCGTTCATCCCTCTCAACCAGGCTTGGATAATACCAGGTTGCCAAAGCCTAGACAGGGGAAGTTGAGGTGGAACCACGGATGTTGCGGTCAGTAAATTTGCGCTATAGCCATCGAAACATCTATCTCGTAGGGATGATTTCGAAGGCGATTTCGAAGCATTGCACGGGTCTGGTGGGAACACCAGGGCAGTAATGCTGAGGTACGTCAGATGGTTTTCGGGTAAGTCCACCCATGATAGATCAGCTGGTCACACTCTGCAGGTTACGCTGGTGAGGCAACGTACTTTGTATGCCAGGGAACCGTTTGTCTCGTAGGGCCCTCTTCGCCCAGCATTGTCTCGGATGAAGACTACCCAGGAGTGGTCAGTCCGTGATCTGGTAATGAAGTGTGGAAATCCTTTTCAGTCAGTTGATTTGCATTGATAAGGGCCGTCTCTCCGAGTGAGGATAGCGGGACGATACAATTAGTGTTTATTGGCCTTGATAGTTATGACTGCATCACGCAGTTAACAGCCTTGCTTCAGAGCTGTCATTTTCACTGCGTAGCTCTCGATTCCTGCCACACAGGACAAACGGAACCACTGGGGAAATGAACTGATTGGGCGATCACCTCTAATGAGTAGCTTATTCTCATTCTCCTTATTCTTCTTGGCAAAGGAAGCTGTAGCGGCTGGGACTACTGGATTTCGATGCACAGTTTATGAGCTGAGGAACTGGAATTGAACTGAACTAGTGTGAGTAGAAGGATGTTGGCAAAGCAATCTCTGAAAAAGGTGGGACTTGAATTGGTCCACAGAAACGTCGGTTGAGAAATAAAACCTCTTAGCTTTAACACCCCTTCGGTGTCTAGCTGCTATGCCAGCCGAAGGAAGCACGAGGGCCGCCTGGTCGCCCAAGCCTAATCAGGGGAAGTCGAGAGGTAGAAGTCTGGTTCGAACCACGGAACTTCCGGTCAGTAAATTCGTGCTTTAACCACTTGGGCCATCTCGCCCAGGTTGAGAAATAGCTGATCTGGTCACCATTGCCTCAAGTTCTGGAGGGACCGCGTGAATCTGAATGGAGCGTCAACAACAGTTTACCATCGACAATAGAAATTCAGCGGGAAATTTTATTGATCTAACCCAAGAAAGCATCTGGCCCAGGCAGTTTGCATCCCTCACTAGTCACCTCAGGCTTGCCTATTTCACTCCAAAATATCTGGAATGAGGGACCCATACTGGCAAAATGGAAAGCCTCGACAGTAGTTCTCATATTCGAAAGTGGCGCACGAAAACAGCGCGAAAACGCTAGAGCATTGTCATGTTGTCCATAGCTCCAAACGTGCTATCTAATATCACCCTACACAGGTTCGCCACCATTGCAGAGTGCTACCTCAGCTCTGGCTGAGGTAAACTAAAACTGATTGACCACATACAAACCTGGAAAGCGGCGGATTGACGAAGGACAGAATCACCCTTCGAATTGGGGAGACCAGGACAGTGTATACCAACCTCCGGCATAATCGCTGTGTTGCCACCCGTTTCACTTTACGGATCAGAGTCATAGCCGCTGCATGTACATCTTCGAATACTCTGTTTAATCGTCGGTGTTTCCGAAGCGTTTATCCATAGGAGAAGGTTGTACTACACGTGAAGCTTGGCTTTGTTGTTGTTTTGATCCATTGCCTTGTTCCCATGAACCGTTGGGTTCACCTCAACTGTGGTGTGCATTGTCTCTTCGTATTTTCAACGCCTGATTACATCCATATTATTCCTTCCAATGATACGGAATGCCTTTTTGTTCCTCTACGTGCTTTGCATTGTACACATATGTTAGATTGTCCATTCACAGCTCTGTTCAGTTTCTAATATTGGATTGAATTCTTCCTACGACTTGACTCAGTAGGCCAATCAATGAGGTATACTAAAAATATTACCATACATTACTGTTCAACAGCGGAATTCAGGGTAAGCTGAGCATTTCCTCCCGAAGCTGTAGAACGAACCAGGCCGTGGGTCGCAGTAAGCAAGCAGTCATTTATTTTGCGGGATGGCCATTACATGGTGATGCCAGCCAGTTCCATTTCAATTTTACGAACTGAAAGTGCGGAACAAGAACAAACTCACCAACCTCAAAAAGTCCACTTCCAGTAAAAGTACAGCGTACATAAACCGGAAAGATATGGTCGGATTTCGGAAAGCTTACCCTCACCCCAACCCCCTTATTTAGTGGGCTCAAGGGAAGGGCGTAGCGGGTAGGTCAAATAACTCTTCACATCGTCATCATCGTTTTCAACGCTGTGCTGTGCCTTTGAGCAATCGGGTCATGATGCTACTGGGTAGGATAGCGGAAGAAAAGAACGAATCAGAAAAGCGAAGTGTAACAGTAGCTTAATACTGTTAAATGGGATTGTAGGGACTGAAACTGAAAACCGAAACTGCATGCAGTACACTAATTAGCTTATGGATGCATGCAATTGATTACGGATTGCTGCCATTTCGGGAAGTGTCTTCACCCATCTGTGTAGTTGTCACTAGGTCCCAGCCCAGTAAATGACCACTGCCAATTTTTCTTGGTAGTGTGTCCCAGGCTTGTTACTATGTCCTTCACCAACCACCACTCCTTTAGCTTCTTTGAGGCCTCCGATACAACACTCGGTATGATAGTCGTTCTTTTGCCCGTTGAGGAATATGACCTGACCAGATAATTATGTAGGTCGGTTATAGGTGCAGTCGACCCACTACCAAATACGAATGTACGTGCCACTTCACTAGCGACCCAATCAGTTCGGTGGGTAGGTTCGGTAGGATGACGTAGACACGGGTGGTTGGAGACTGAAGGAGACTATTGGAGACTGAACTGCACCTTCGCGGAAACGCCAAGCTCCCGACTCGTAGAGAATCATCAGTCAAACGCAGGCTTACCTAAGCGACCACAAACCAGACCTATGAAAAGACATCTGTGATTAATTGCACTTAAGAACGTACGTAGGAACGCATGTAGCCCACGAATATTTTTAAACAACATGTTAACCATAGTTTATGTCCTTTTTTGTGGGAGGGGGTTGGCTTAATCTTTTGGCAGCTCGTCGCGTCGAGTGATGCAAATTCCATTCCTATTCATTTCAGACGTTTTTACAAAAAGCTTGAAGCGGCAATCCGCTAGTGTCTTCCGATTTCGCGACTGCTGTCATTTCTTTAGCGATGCTGTCCATACCCGGTGCTGTGCCCAAAATTGTTTCTGTTCGAGGTATGTTGCCCACCGCTGTGTTCGTATTCACATCCATTTTTAGTGCAAAAGGCCGAACGTCTACGAATTATTCCAAAAGCGGATGGAAAGCAAAGTATGTCAGAACATTTCCGACCTGTTTCAAACCCGATTGTTATTTTCTTTCAGGGAAGTACACACAAAAATGGAAGGTTGTCTTCTTGGGTGGGAAAAAGAAGATGTCCAGCGGATCGATTCTGGCACCGGCTGGGAATCCAGTCTGGGATTATGAGGTTACTTTGTAAGTATACACTTTTGTGTTGGGTTAGTTGACGTTGTGTTTGGTTTCTAGCAAAGTCGCTGCTCGTGGCGAACCAATTAGTCTTCTAGTGACTGACTCAGAGGATCATCACGTGGGGCAAGTTGTCATTCCAGTCACGGCAATGCCTCCGAGGCCAGCTAATTCGAGTGAACGACCAACGGATCCTTCACGTCTCAGAGTCGCTGACCTTGAACCCACCAAAAAAGTGGAAAACCCTATCGGCACACTCTACTATTGGGTATGGGTGGAAGAATATCGAGCTGAGGACGATGAAAAAAAGAGTAGCAGAGGATCATTACTCAGTCTTGCAAGGTTAGTAAGTAGATTTGTTTTCGGTCTGTGTACTCGGATGCGATTCTTCTTTATCAATCTCCTTCGGGTAGCTTTTTAACTTCTCATGAACTTAACGCGTATGCTTTTTTTTAGTTTTGTCATTAACTGGTTATCTTCTCACCTGCCCAACTATTCCTGGAAATCTATGGGAAGAGTAACAGTTCGCAGTAATCAAACTTGGGTCACAAATGACGTACGTAGAAGTTAGACAGAACTATACCATTTACCAAGAAATGCGCGCAGAATACTTAGCCACGTGAATACGCACAGAGATGGGCTGCGCACTTGCACGACGATTTCAGAAGATATCTGTCCACCCACTTCGTTTGATTACTTCACTGAAAATCTGTTATGATCTTGTCATGTTTTCTCACTTTGTTTCATCACAAGACCTTATTTAGATACATTGGCTTTGTTTTACTGCTGCGGAGCACCAGTCCTCCACTCTGGTGCTTTGAGTGCAGTTGCTGATATCTCCACCTCCACTGTCGACCGTAAAGGCCATAGCAGTGGACCCTTCATTCTACTCCGCGAGTTTCCCAATGCAGATATATTACCACCTCCGTTGAAGAACTGAACAGATGGCTATATATATACATATACGTCAGGGATGACCACGTCAGTTATAGTGAACCAGCGATCACGAGAAACATGCGGACGGTGACCTTGGAAAAGGAATTTCAGATGCAACAAATATTTATTTGGAGCGCTCAAGCTCCGTGCCCTCATGTTAACTTCAGACCAGCTTCCATGACGATGAGAGGTCTCTGGTAATTAAGAGAGAGAGAACCAGAGCGTGGGCAAAGTCTTTTGGAACTCGACAAGCGAGCCACCAAGGTCACAAAACGACAAAACATTTTAGACTACGCTCAGGGAAAATGAGACCATACTTAGCAATGCTACAGAAAGTTCGGGGTTGGGGGACACAACATTGCGAGTGGGGGCTGAACAATGTGCTCTGTAGGTATTGATGGACTGGACAGACAGAACGACAAGTGTCTGGCTTTTTACTGGGACAGGATGAATCGGAAGGGTAATTTCGGGGAGTTGCATGCTCTAGTTAACTTGGTGTTTCGTTTATGATCACAGATGGTCAAGACACACGTGCGTCGAATATCCAGGTAGCTAGTATAGTCCACCTCGCATCTGGTCCGACCATAGCAGGCCCATACTGAACGCTTCTGTTTGGAAATCCAATGACTAGGGTAGTTGTGCCATTTTGGTGTGTTCGGTATATGCAATAGCACCCCACAGTTTGCAGTTCTAAAGTGCATACCGAACTACACAGCACATTTGCTTAGGTTATTTAAGATAGTTCGCGTTGCTAAAGAGTCTGATCCAGGGAGTATAATATCGTCAGCGCAATGTGTGAGGGGACACCCCGGAGGGATTTCGCTTCCGGTGGTGTTGTTTTCAGGCACGAAACATTTGAGCAGGACATCAATTACGAGGTTGAAGGGGAATGGTGAAAAAACTGCTAACTGTGTATTCCTGAGTTGTGAATTAACTTAATGCCAGCATCTATATGATACTGTCCGACTGATTTTGAGCTCGATGAATAGGAAGTGGAAAGGGTCGATGATATAACAAATAGTCAGATACGGAACGAACATACACCTTGAATATTTAAGCCATGAGCAATTTGGAGTTCATACACTGGCGTGGGTTATGTGAAAAACTACAATAACACCTCCACCTCTGATACCATGAGTTGTATTGACTGCCTTAATTGGGAAAACGAGACAAACTCCATGGGTTTACGAAGTTATCTTGATCAAAGGGGGTACCTACGGCCGGGTAGTTTTTTTTTGAAAAAAGCACGGTGCATCTTCAGAGAGACTACACCCACGAGAGGCCACACCCCAGGAATATCCTCGGTGCCTGCTCCATGTGGGATTTCTACAAGAATTTCCATCATAATAGAGGCCATCACCCACCTATTCAGAAAGTTCACTATATTCACGCGAAAAATCCGTGAATCTGACCACCTTAAAAAAGTGCAGAAAGTATATTCCTCCGGCCGTGTTGAAGTTTTGAACAACCTGAGTCATGAGGCGAAAACCAACGTATACAAAGCTCTTAGACTGTTAACAAGATGTTGAATCTTTTTAAGCTAACTGGCCAATGGCCTCATGTTTAGCAGTAAAGTGGTAAGTGTTGAGCAATCAACCTTACCAAACTTAGATCAATCCCTCCCTATAACAGTTGCTTATCTTAGCGTATTTACCTGCAAGTCCCTACTTTTAGCGAATAGTGTGTGGGAGACAGGGCACAAATGGGCAACTTTCCAAGGACTCCAGTGCGGATAACGCCTTACTGATATTTGTAGGCGAACTCGGAGGAACACACTGAATAGTTTGCTACAAAATGCTTGGAATTTTCTACCTTTCCTTCAATTTTCTCGATATCAGGTAGAATTTATTTCCCCTGGAGGGAGTTCGCCGTCCAGGAGACACCAGAACCATCTTTTTTCCTTTCCAACATGTAACGGCATTATCAGCTTGGTTTCCGGTCTGAGTCTTCCAAGCTGGTGTTCCCGACAAAACAGCTACCAATGGTGCACAACGTATATTTACGCCCAAAACCAGCGCTTTGTATATAGAGTATGTGCGGCGATAACATTCTGGAAGTTCTGATGCCTTTAGGATGGTCCATTGGCGACCGGCATTCGGTAGATACTGGATCGTGATTGGCTGTTGGGTCCAGACTTTCGGTCAGTCAGAGATCACCTTGATTCTGGACCGGCAAGTGGCCCGGTGTTCTGGCTAATCTCGCGCGGGCTAGGCTTCTTGGGCGTAGAGGCTCCTAACTGCGAGCCATAAAGCGGTATCGGTGCGGAACTCTACCTAAAATAATCTATTCAAGGGGATTAATGCGAGTGTCACACAAGTCTTTGTGGGCCATGCACACAATATTTCTACTCCCGAGTGGCATACCTTTGGGAACTATTGTATTACGCGGGTTTTGGTATGTAGCTAAGATATGGTGACCAGGCCACAGCGACGTCAATGGAAATTTGGTGCCCAATCCTACAAGAGGAACCGGTTTCTTGGGATGGACGGAATAACGCCTTTTCTGTAAAAGGAGTTTGCTTCATACATTTTTCTGGACACAGCCAAAATGATGGTATTTTAAATCTGTGAAGCCTACCGGGAAGCAAGTTTGTCCATTTCAGCAAAAAGGCAATAGTTATCAGTTCATTTGGTTTGGTGAGATCTGAGCAGATATTCCTTGACATGGTGGCGATCCAAATCCTCCACGAATCCCCCCTGATGAAACGAGGCCAGTTATGCGATAATAATTTCAACTTCATGTTAGCCAACCAAACGTCATCCGTTTGTTATTTTGATTTCTCCAATCCGCTTATGACTTTCTGCCGTAGCCCGGGCGCTGAGGAGTAAGTTAAATTCACTACACACAGTAGCACATGCGCACTCCTTTTTTGCACTTTACCCAATAGAACGACGTGTTGGCGTGGTATAACCTCACTTGCTTGGTTTACCTGGCCTGACCCACTTCCACACATGTGGTCGGGGATAGTCGATTAAAGATGGGCCGCTTCACACGCCGCGTTTTCCTGCTCTGCCTCTTAGTCAAGTTACCACTGATGTGCTTTTTCATCTCTGATCATATGACCAGGCAGTCAACATTACCTTCTAGCTGACCCACGCTTTGTACATGTTTCTAACACAATTTTGTATGCACACCAGAATTCACTCATTATTTGTAGCGTTGGTTCTCAAATTTTTCACAACTAGCACAAACAGTGATGCGGCCTTAGTGATGCGTCTTTTCTTCCGACATAGTTTTCTGGACAGTCATTTCCTTTTAGTTAGTCATTCGATCGTCCATCCGATTCAGACGATTTGACTCTCCTCGATCTTTTACTGGCTTTGAGGTTTCGACCGTTACTATCTAGGATTGTACGCTTTTGAATTACCGCAGCGTTTGTGTGTTTGACCTCGGTGTATAGACACAGTGCTGTTAAGAAAATTGTGTCTAAGTGCCTGCAAGGAAGATAACATGGTACCACAAAGCGAAATGTGGGTTTTGCTACGAGCTCATCACTCGTGGCAAGAAAGTAGTGCTCTAATTTCGTAGGGCGCATTTCGACTGTTTACGGAGGACGTGAAAGTGAAGAGTTTGTTTTGTTATCCTCATTGGATCCATTCGGTGATGCTCGAAGTCCTCTGCCTGCCGTGTACTCACTGTGAACCGTAGGGAAGGACCAATAACAAACATGCGCTGTAAATTTCGTCCTTGGTTCAAAAAGTCGCAAGGTTTCCAAATAGTTTCTGAATACCGTCTGTACATAGGATATTGTGCAAGCCGATCCTTCTGCAGCTTGGGGCGATGCACAACAGCTGTTTTTCAGTTTAGACTATCAGTCAGAAAAATGCCTTTTCCTTAGGTGGAGGGAGCTGTTTTGAATTGAAAGAACCACGAAGATTTGGCCTCGTAATCAGCATGCTCAATACCACCAGCAAGACGGTCACGGAGCATATTGGTTTGTTGGTCGGCTGAATTACCCGAAGAAATGCGCAGGTGATGGACACATTTGACGAATGTAGTTTCTTAGCCTGGACACAGCAAACATTCATAGTTATGTACACCAATCGGAATCATACTACGCTGGTCCTCCGGTCTTTTCCTTCGAGAAGGGACCATTTTTTCCGGGCCCTCGAATTTAAAAATGAACCCGATGGTTAAAATGACGAATCGCCCAAGAATGACTAGAACATTTTAACAATTTTGGTTTTCCTCTCCTCTCCTCAATATTGGCCACTTTTTCCATAGGTCGGGAAACGTGAACGCCCATGCCGTATCGATTGATTTTGTTTTTTTGTGATGAACCGGAATTCTCATGTTGATTACTTGCCGGGCCGATTTCTGCTACTGCTTACTGGGCACCTCCGCACAAAGAGGTGGTCCCATGACTCGTATGTGATACGCTAAATCAACACATGTAGTATGGAGCG